TCATTCGAATTTCTCTCTGATTCTACTAAACGTTCAAAATTCAAAACCTATTTAGAAACTCTAATTTTTAACATTAACCATTCTCCTTTAATTATCCTTGATCATATGAATCATGAGTTTTCCGGTTATTCGGAAATACTGCAGTTTTAAGCTGTTGCGCGCGTTGTTGGCACGCTTCCCCAAACTAACTTACTTCCATCAAATTTTATCAGAAATCATATTTCCTAGTTCTATCGACCATTTATAACTCATATTTAAAACCTAGAGCTCAAAACTCAATCGGTACGTTTTACAGTGCAATCGTACCGCGGTATTTTTACCCGGTAAAAATACTATTCACTGATTTTTCTAAAACTTGCCTATCCACTCAATTTTTCGTTCTGAATCCATTTTCAGTGTTCTTTTTATCATCTGAGACCTTCTACTCAATTTTTATTTTCCTAGGGTTACGTGTTGGCTAATTACCGTTTTGCCCTTTCTTTGTATTTTGACCTAATTTCAGGATTTTCACTAATCCTTCTCTTTAATTCTCATATAATATATTAATATTTCCACTTAGAAATGCGAGGTGTTATACGGTGCTTCATAGATGGCCGGTTTCGCCACTGCAGTCTAACCTTTTTGAACCAAATCCAAAACCGTCATCACAATTTGAGCGATGCTCTCTTAAATAAGCGAATCTTTAATCGTATCTCGTCCGTTGATCACAAGGTTCCAATCCATTTGTCGAGATTAATAATATGTTTACTGATAAATCTAAGTAATTAATTTATGGGTAAAACTAATCTTATGTTACATAAGATAGTATACCTCATGTTGTGAAACAAAATCAAGGTGAGACTCATCTTGATTTTTTTTTGTAGTGGGTCTCACCTTGATTTTGTTTCATAACATGAGGTACACTATCTTATGCAACGTAAGATTAGTTTTACCCTTGATTTATATGTTAATTATTTTCGATAAAAGCGCAATGAAGTCACTCTCTGCTTTTGAAGGAGTGAGATCGTGACCGTTCCATGGAAACACACCATTTTCTCTCTGGTTTTGAGTCCATAGAGTTTTTGAGTTCTTCTGCAACTGTTTTCTGGTGTACGAAGACAAGTAATACTTTTAAATGAAATATATAAAATGAGACAATATTAATTTACTTGAATATAAAAATAATAATTCTTTAGTAAATTTTAATGGTTTATATTCATGTATTTAACTGTTGTAATTTATTAAAATTGATAATTAATTAATCAGTATACTTTTTATTACAACGATTTATACAGAAATCAATTGTTATGATTAAGGGTAAGATTTGTTATTATTACAATGTTATGTTGATCTTGTCCCATATAAAGTAACATTCAAAAATTTTAAAATAAAAAATTATATTTTCATAAAAAAATTAAGAAACTATCAAATTGATTGTCAATTTATATATATATATTATAATATTTGAAAAAAGTTAGAGATTTGTGATTCGGCGAAAGTTAATTTTAACCACGTTATAATAGTGGTGGTAATAATAATCATGACAATTATATTCGCGGTTGGCCGATGGTGATGGTGGATATATATAGTGGGGGTCAATTATCATTTGTATAAGCCTCGCTGATAGAGATTATGACATACAAATCTCACACACTCATAGAAAAACTAATGGGGGAATTGCCAGTTGCCATGCACGGACATGTGTTCTCCTCACGTTTGATTTGGCTCAAAACCTTTTAGGTGGTGTTTGGTTGGAAGCTTTTCAGCGGATATCTATCTTTCTCAAGTATGGCTTTTAGAAACACTATGTTTGTTTCAACATTTTTCACCAAAAATTCATCTATCCAATTTGTCTGGATTTATGAGAAACATAGATATCCGCACTGTTTAGAAACCCAATTTGAAGGTGGGATTTTTCGGAAAACCGATTATCTGGCTTTTAATGCACTGTTAATTTCATAAAGTTACCTAATTTTTCCAGTAAAGTTTTTCTCCACCAAACAACTTTTTTTTACATTTTTCTACCTATCTCACTTTATTTATCTTTCCAATCATTTTTCTATCTATCTCATTTTCCTACTATTTCAAAAAAATTTCCTGAACCAAACGCCCCTTAATGTTTTTTCTGTTACCATCTAGGAATGCTCATGAGATGATTAAAAATATTATGATGTTATATAAAATAATAATTTAATTAGAAATTTAAAATTTATCTCTTATTTTTTGGCTGTAAATCAACGCAAATGTAATATAAGCCAAACTTAAAATTCTGCTGAGTGCAATTTTTAAAAAAATGTTTTTTTAAGAAACTAATCACTTCTGTTTTATAAGTTTTCAAAAACACTATGAAAAAAAGTGTTTTTACCAAGAACACTATGATAAAACAATAGAAGAAATAACATCTCCAGCAACTGAAAAAGGTATTTCCCACAAACTAATGTCCTTACGCAATTAATATATGGATTATATTTATCTTATTTTTTATGAAAAAAATAATTTTTTACGCACACAAAAAATGAGTAGGTCTCATCACTCTTTTTTCTCTCTCTTCTTTTCTATGAATTCTACTTATAATTTTATTTCTACAACATAAGATAAAAAAAATATTTCCTAACATATATAGTCTCTAAAATTATAGTCTGAAATTAATTAAAATAAAATAGAGTAACCGTACTTCATTCCATGAAAAATGTGTACAAGTCTAGCTTCTCCAACGCGGTGGCAAGGCAAGAAAATAAATCATCCAACTTGTGTAGGACCCTCTCACTCATTTCCGATCAAAACACAAGTCCTAATATGTAATCATTTGACAGCATCATACTAAGTCAAAAAAGCAACCAACGGCTGTGATTGATGGATGCAGAAGCTGATCAGGAATAACCTCTTAACATTGGTTTGTCTTTTGGAGTGAACAAAATTGACTTAGAAATAAGAGTAAATACTTTTTTTTTTCTCTTCAGCAAATTTTACGATATCTGTGTTTTAGTTTTTAACAAATAAAAAGGCTCAATATAGTTCCTAAGAAATTTAAAATGGACTCGTTTAATTAGAATCGTGATCCCTTACAAATTCAAAAAAGATCCATATTAGTCCCTAAAAGGACTAGAATGGATCTATTTTGAATTTTTCAAGGACCACGATGAACCTTTTTATTTTCTAAAGACTAAAGCGGGTATCGTAAAATTTGCTAAAAATCAAAGAAGATATTTACGGCTTTTTGACCCTTATAACCTTTTATTATTAATTAATTACCGATTTGACCTTGATTATAAACTATTTCAAAAATTTAACCCCCTCAAAAAACATAACACCAATCTGCCCATGTTTGACCGTTGACCACCAAGCCTACCCGGGTACACCCCTCTCTACCCGGGTATTTTTTGAAAAAATTTGTCTACCCGGATAAGGAGGAGTGTACCCGGGTATTATTCTTCGCACCTGAGAAATTGCTTGAATTATTTACTCGGGTAGAAGGGGTGTACCCGGGTAAATCTTCGACCACCCACTTACTCGCCATTACATGTAACACGGAGTGTTTCTCTCTCTCTAGAATTTTCTTGCTGTGAGGAACTAGAAGAGAGAAAGTAGAGACAGTGGTGGTGGGAGTGTCATTGCTATGGCGCGATAATAAATGGGAGTTATTTTCTCTTTACTCCGTGTGCGTTACGAAATCATGGTTCTCTTCTGCCCTTTTAAGTTTTCCTAATTGCCCACGTGAATTCTGTCTCGTTCTCTCATGAAAAAACAAATTTTATTTAGTTAGGTAAAACACAATTTCATGAAACAAGGCAAAGTCAATTTGGTCCACACACGATTAGAGTTTTGGTGTTTATGTTTGATGTAACTCACACAAGCCTTTTTTTTTTTTTATTCTTAATATTAACTTAAGGGTTTAATTATGGGTTAAGTTTTAAAGGATCATATCTACGCGTGCAGCTGGGGCTGGGGCTGGGGCTGATGGCGCATGATGTCTCATTTGATGGCTCCACTCCTGATAAGCAGCTTGCAAATTCCTCCGTTTTGCATGATCAGTATGTGATTGTTATTATTTATTTTTTGAAATTCTGCTTCTGCATGAATTTTTTCACAAAACCTTCTGGTGTGTACTTCAAAGATAGAACTCATAAAGGTTGCCTGAGAGCTAGTGTGAATCTAAGAAGACCACAACCTTTGTATGGTTCTCTGAATTTTGGATGTTCCTCTCTTCAAGGACCATGGCTGAAGAATTTCTCTACCCCTTCTTCTGCTTGTTGTTCAGCTGGGGCTGCGCATGATGTCTCATTATTTACCCGGGTACACCCCTCTCTACCCGGGTAAATAATTCAAACATTTTTCCAGATTCAAGAAATATACCCGGGTAGGGAGGAGTGTACCCGGGTAGGTAAAAAATTTCAAAATATACCCGGGTAGGTAGGGGTGTACCCGGGTAGGCTTCAAGGTCAACGGTCAAACAGGGGCAGATTGGTGTTATGTTTTCTGGAGAGGTTAAATTTTTGAAATAGTTTATAAATAAGGTCAATTTGGTAATTAATTATTAAAAAAGAATTATAATAGTGAAAAAGCCAGATATTTACTCTAGAAATAAAGGATCATAATTTTGGGGTTGACCAGAACCAAGGTGGTACTGTGTTCAGCACAGTATTGTATACTTCCTCGTAACAGAGACTTGCTTACATAAGCACTTACATCAGCACTAATGTTTTCTTTATCATGCCTCTTTATTTATTATTTCATTGATTTCAGCCCTCTGGGAAATGGAACACTTAGCTTAGAGCATCTTTTGAGCTTTGAATCTGTAAGTACGTTCATCCTTTAATCTGATTTTATTTTGTTAATTTCTGTTGCTATTTGCATGTTCTAGGGCTTTTTCAGAAAGCTCGTCCTTTTTCTTTTCTTTTCTTTTTCTTCTTCTTTTGTTTGGTATCTTTTGAAAGTTTTTATCTGAATTGGGCTTTTGTTTCTTGGATCAAAATCTGATTTTGTGCTTAAATACAAAAAATCTGATTTTCTGTTTACTTGAAGCTAGTTTTACTGTGTAGGAATTTTGGGTGCTTAATGATTGGGAAGAACAAGCGGTGGGAGTGGATGGATTGGGTGAAGAGTGTTTTAAATATTATATTATTTTGTGCTCTCTTAAAAGTGATTTGAACATTGGGATTTTCTTCAAGTGGAGTATTGGAATGTGAAGCTTCACCCGGAAGTGAAGGGTGAAGGGATTTTCTTTGTTCTAAATGGATGATATCTATTTAAAGGGGGAAATTTTGAATTTGGATCGTGAAGAAGATACACTGAAGTGAAGAATAGCTTGGTCTTGAGATTACTGTGTAGGTATTGATTTGATTAAAGGCGTAGCCTTTACTAGATAAATTGGCCACGACAGAATTGATTTGCTGAAGTCCAGATATTTTAATTCATGTGGCATGCTGATATTGTGTTCTTATGGACTATCTGTGTTGAATAGAATATTTCTTCTAATTGTGGGATCATAAATATATTTTCACAAATCATCATTCTATTTATGCTTTATGTTTTTTTATCTGCCCCCTTTGTCTCTCCCCTCTCCTTTAAATCTTCCCTTACCACACAGTTCATTGCTTCTAGTTGAATCTTTGGGACATGATCTAATTCAACGTGGTCTTTAATTTTTGTTAATTATTTATGCAGTATTTTGTTGTACTACATCACCAGTAAAATGGATTCAAAAGGGAGCCGAGGTACTAATTCCTGGGCAAGGCCGTCTTCCTTAACCTCTCCCGGGAATGGATTACAGACAAATTTATCCTCAGATCCTCTCTCTTTCCCAGGTTTTGGTTTGCAGCATAACCATAACAAGTGGGATGATCCTTCTATTTCAGATTATGGGGTCACAGATGCACCTTTCAAAGAATTTAACCAACCGTCTCAAACCCAGTCTATGCTTCCTTGCGACTCCAACAATGAGATAAAGATCCCTGATCAAGTAAACCATCTACTGAGTGAATCATCACAAACCAGTAGACTCCAAGATTGGGATCCCACTGTGATGTTGAATAACCTTTCCTTCCTAGAAGAAAAGATTCATCAACTCCGGGATTTAGTGCATTTGATTGTTCGTCAAAAAGCCCTTCATTTTGGACAACCTAATGAACTTGTAACTCAGGAGCAGCAGCTCATTACAACTGATCTTACATCAATTATTGTTCAATTGATCTCTACTGCAGGTAGTCTTCTCCCTTCTGTTAGGAATACCCTTATAAGCACTAGTCCATTGGTTGGACAACTTGGCCAGCTTCGCGGAATTACTGTTCCTTCTGGTTCAGGTCCAAGTAGTAGCTGTATTCAACCACAAATTAATAGTGGAAATAAATTGTCTGATCAGTCCATCCAGAATGATCTACCTAATAGTTGTGAAATGGAGCAAAACTACAATATGGAAGAACATGGATTTAAAGATGAAGAAGATGCAGATGATGGAGAAAACCTTCCACCTGGTTCATATGAGATTCTACAATTAGAAAAAGAAGAAATCCTTGCACCCCATACACATTTCTGTACAATTTGTGGGAAGGGATTCAAGAGAGATGCAAATCTTCGAATGCACATGCGAGGTCATGGTGATGAGTACAAAACTCCAGCAGCACTTTCAAAACCACATAAAGATTCTGGGTCTCAACCAAAGCTTATCAAGAGGTATTCGTGCCCCTATCCTGGTTGCAAGCGCAACAAGGATCACAAAAAGTTTCAACCTCTGAAGACTATTTTATGTGTGAAAAACCATTACAAAAGAACACACTGTGACAAGAGTTACACTTGTAGCAGATGCAACACCAAAAAGTTTTCAGTCATGGCTGATCTAAAAACTCATGAAAAACACTGTGGTAAGGATAAATGGCTTTGTTCATGTGGCACAACATTCTCTAGGAAAGACAAGCTTTTTGGGCACATTGCTCTTTTTCAAGGCCATACACCAGCCATTCCTGTGGAGGACACCAGAGGAGTAACTGGGCCACTTGATCATGACAGCAAAGAAAACTGCGTAGGAACTATGAACTTCAGTGTTGGATCAAATCCTTCAAGTGGAAATGGAGTTCAAAATGTCATGGATGTAAAAGGCAATATTGATGATCCTATGAATTATTTCTCATCATTGAACTTTGAAGCTAACTTTGGTGGATTTACTGAATTCGCTCGACCTGCATTTGAAGAATCAGACGTTTCTTTCTCTTATCTCATGACTGGATCTCTTAAACCTGGTGGAGAATCAAGTTCTGACAATCTTTGTTGAAAATTTGTGCTGATATTGGTTCGGTTAATCTGCCCCCAAGGAATAAAGCTTTCTAGTGTATGTTAAATTTTAAAGAAAGTTAATTTCTTGTCCTTTCAATTTCTTATGAAAGAAGATATATATATATATATATATATATATATATATATATATATATATATGAGGCAGGATCCTTTGACACCGGTGTCAAATTTGAAGTTTGACACCTCATTTGAGAGCTGTTAGATCAAAAAAGATCCACGACTCTGATTTGTAAGCATGTGACACCATTGATCTTTTTTGATCTAACGGCTCTCAGATGAGGTGTCAAACTTTAAATTTGACATCGGTGTCAAAGGATCCAACCTCTATATATATATATATATATAAATCTTCAAAAAAGGGAAAAGTGTTTGTTCTTTTAAATAACATAATTTATGTCATTTCACTCTCACAAAGAGATAGGATTCACATTTTTATATTGTTTTCTCCTCTTTTATTTATCTCTTTCTCTCTCTTAAAATAATATAATTTTACATTTTTTAAAATGATATACACTTTTTCCATCTTTAAAATCTTATGTTCTTATTCTTTATGGAAACACTTGGTCAGGTACGTAAGTACTAGGAGGAGCTATTAGTTTCCAAGCTTCTTATTCTTTAAACTGATTTTGGCTTTTGGACGTTAATTTTGTATAAACACGCTTATTTATTAAAATGGGTATCATATTATTAAATATATATAGCATGCTGCATTAGACTCATCAAGTTTTTATGAAGTAATTCTTAAATAAAAGTATTATTTTCAACAACAAAAAATGAAACAAGTAATTTTAACAATGTAACTAAATTATAAAAATTGTGGCTATCAAAAAAAAATTGTTTAGCAAATATTTTATTCACGTACAATTATATTTATATATGTATTAACTGTATTAAGAATAATGCGAATTTAATTATATATATAATTATGAATTAATTATAACTTATGAATCATAATTTTAGGAATTTGAAAATATTTTACACTAATTTTATGAAATATTTTGCAAATATTTATTCACGTACAATTATATTTATATATGTATAATTATTTATAACTGTATTAAGAATAATGCGAATTTAATTATATATATATATAATTATGAATTAATTATAACTTATGAATCATAATTTTAGGAATTTAAAAATATTTTACACTAAATTTATGAAATATTTTATTTTCGATATAGTCCAGCGACGTTTTTTAGTCGCGGTTGTGTGGCAATTTTTAAAACATTACAACCAAGCTGTGGATTAAATGCATTTTATAGTTAATGTTTGCTAGAGACAGTTTTATGCAAAAATTGAGAATACAGGCTAAAACAAAATTGTTGAGCAAACTCAACTGAACTCTCTGAGTGGCTCAGTGCCCATATTGAGAATTGTGAAGCAGAATGAGCTTTAAACCGCTTGCAACACCCTTTGATGACTTCCTCAAAGGCAAACGACAATATTTTTCCCTTAAAACTACGTCGTTCTGGCAAGACCAAGTCTGTCCTCGAGGAGAACTATCATTCCACAAGAACCTCCCTGAGAATGGATTCACTAGACTCTCACGAAATTCTTGCACTGGCTCACATAGCAATCCCTGTAGCAGTGACAAATAATGTCAGAGTTTGGAATTTGACAGAGTACAGTTAAGGATGAGAAATGACATCATGACTAGAGTTTTTTAAGAAAGATGAAACAAGTAACCATACCTCTGCCATGCATTTGATTTTCAAAGTGACATCCTCGCTAAGCAGGACAAGTTGTCCATCATTTTGCTTTCTTCTATATAGAAGAGCAAAGTCAAGGATGTGATCTTCTACTCTTGGTGAAGCAATTTCTATGGAGCAATTGTGGGGTGAAAGAGGCTGCGAGTTTTCAATCCTACCAAGATAATTCCAACTATCTTCACTGAATTGAAACTGAGGAGAAGCAGGTGGAGTTGGAGCAACCAGGCTTCCTTCCTCCACTGAGCTCTGGATATGAATCCACCGGTTTGTCTTCACCATACATTCTTCAATCCATTCCAACGCCAAAGAAGCCTCTGAAATTCTTCTAAAAAATGTGAACTGTCGCTTCATACTCTCCAGTTCCCTTATGACTTTCATTAGAGTGATAAATGTATTTGTGAGAAACAACACCACTTCATTTCAAACAGTAAATAATAAAGGCAAATATTATTTTAAAACTCATTACCCAATCTTGGAACGATTAATCGAGTTCTCTTGAGACCTTGTAAAAGTTGCAGAGCTTTCCTTGATTCCTTGTTCATAAGAGAAGCAGTATCCACAACCATGTCCCAGCTCTTATTTTGCACCTCCTTGATATCCTGCTAATGAAACAGATGTAAGCATACACTAATCAAACTCTTGAACCGTTCACAATAAGCATGAATGCATGATATTTCTTATGTTAACTTACAGAACGGTTAATAGGCTTGTCTAAAATTTGTCCACAATTAGTGACATCAATACTTTTTGCAGCAGAAACAGGACAAGAAGTGCCTGATCTTCTCTTGCCTCCTGAGTTCTTTAGTGATTGGAAGGGTACCCTTTCTCTTCTATTCTTCAATGCCATAACATCTTGTTCCCGTGCCAACTTGATATGACTGCCAAAAGGCTTTCTTCGTAACTTCTGATCTAGGGCTACTTTTGGAGTCTGGTTCTCTTTCTTTGAGGTGGGGCTTATGCTTTCACCTGGATTGGGGCCAAAATTATCCTTTGAATTTTGTGACCATTGAGACTTGGAACCTTCAATTTCTTCTTCCTTACCATTCTTTTTGAGAAGCCACAATTGAAGAGTAATTGGGCTGAAGTTTTCCTTATCTGGAGTGAAGATTTCTTCTTCTTCCCCATCCAAAACAGAGAAAAGATCCTTTGAGATTGTTTTATTTATGATATCCTTCTGGTTCTCTTTGCTTAATGTGAGGCTTATGTTTTCATCAGGATAGATGCTGGAGCCGAAATTATCCTTTAAATTTTGTGACGAATAACACTTCGAACATTCAATTTCTTCTGTCTTACCCTTCTTTTTCATAAGCCGCAATTGAAGGGCATTTGGGCTGAAGTTTTCCTTATCTGGAGTGAATATTTCTTCTTCTTCTTCCCCATTCAAATCAGTGAAAAGATCCTTTGAGATTGTTTTATTTATGATATCCTTCTGGTTCTCTTTGCTTAAAGTGAAGCTTATGCTTTCACCTGGATTGGGGCCAAAATTATCCTTTGAATTTTGTGACCATTGAGACTTGGAACCTTCAATTTCTTCTTCCTTACCATTCTTTTTGAGAAGCCACAATTGAAGAGTAATTGGGCTGAAGTTTTCCTTATCTGGAGTGAAGATTTCTTCTTCTTCCCCATCCAAAACAGAGAAAAGATCCTTTGAGATTGTTTTATTTATGATATCCTTCTGGTTCTCTTTGCTTAATGTGAGGCTTATGTTTTCATCAGGATAGATGCTGGAGCCGAAATTATCCTTTAAATTTTGTGACGAATAACACTTCGAACATTCAATTTCTTCTGTCTTACCCTTCTTTTTCATAAGCCGCAATTGAAGGGCATTTGGGCTGAAGTTTTCCTTATCTGGAGTGAATATTTCTTCTTCTTCTTCCCCATTCAAATCAGTGAAAAGATCCTTTGAGATTGTTTTATTTATGATATCCTTCTGGTTCTCTTTGCTTAAAGTGAAGCTTATGCTTTCATCTGGATAGATGCCAAGATTAAGATTATCCTTTGAGTTGTGTGACCTTCGTGACTTGAAATGTTTAATTTCTTCTAAGTTACCCCTCTTATTTTTCATAAACCGCAATTGAAGGGTATTTGGGCTGAAGTTTTCTTTATCTGGAGTGAAAATTTCTTCTTCTTCCCCATCCAGAACAGAGAAAAGATCCTTTGAGATTGTTTTATTTATGATATCCTTCTCATTATTCATTGCAAATTCGGCATCAGCATTAGCTGTGCTCTTGAGTATACTCTTGCTGGTTTGAACCATTGGAGCACTAGTAGCTTTACCTCTTCTTGACCAAATATTACAAATTGATGAATTGTTCTCCAATGCTTCTATGCAGCTTTCAAGAATTTCCATATCCAATTGCAAGGTCTGGTTCTCTTTCGTAACATTCAAAACAGCTTCCTGAATCATTGGCGAATTTTCTGACTCTATCTGAAGTGATATGGGACAGATGCTACCAGTATTTCCAATATCTTGAACTGCTTCAACGAGTGACTGCCCTTGGTTGTTACTTTCAGCAACTGATTCCACATAAGGTGGTGATAGAACATGGTTTAGTGAGTCGCACAGTTTGTTTTCACCATTAGAGATTGTGGGTGAATATGACGTTCCAGTTCCAAAAGGTTCACTTGACACTCCAAATGTTTCATCTTTTGATGGGCTCTTCCTCTCTTCCTCACAATATAAAGAAATGATGTCTTCCGGTATCAGATGTGCTGACAGAATCTCCTTTTTCACAGTTAGTTCCAAATTCTCATCAAGGAATAAAGAATTGATACACTCAAGAATTGAATCCATTGACTGAATTTCTTCCATATCAACTGGACAACAATTCAAGTTCTGCAGGTCCCAAAAACAAAAAAAACATAAAGATCATATTATTAAACATTACTTCAAAATTAACAACAAAGCAAGCCTTATTTCGCTATGCATAGCCTCCTGCTCCTATATGGATCAAACAACATTCATGTTGTAACTATCAAATTAAACATCACATACAAAAACACAAACCAAATAAACATACAAGTACAACTCATCATGCTAGTTGACATAATAAAGTTTCTCATCCTAATTGACTTTCCCTAAGCTCTAAAATAAACAAATTGAAAAAGAAATGAAAAACAAAATCAAGAACAATATCACAAACACCTTGCTGGCATTCTACATCTTAAGTGATATAAGCCACAAGTTTGTACCTGCACTTTCTCTTCGACTTCTTGTTCTTGTTCTTCATCTTCTTCTAGAACCACATACAGCTCGGACACAAAGGGGTTTTCCAAATCATAGGCACGGCTAATCGAAATCCAATGCAAACGATAAACCCTGCTGGAAACCCCGATCCGTAGCATGTCTCCTTCCTTCATCTCCACACTCACTCCGGGCTCGATCTTCCTCCCGGACACCCATGTCCCGTGCACTGCCACCAAGAAACAAAGAAAGAAATCGAATTGATCAAGATTCAAGAAATCCCCAGAAACATCGAAGAAAAAAAGAAAAAAGAAGAAAGAAAGAAAAGCGATTACCGGAAGATAAATCTATGACGTAAAGGGTTTGCGAAGAGGGTTTGGAGCAAATCTGGAGGTGGAATCTGCTGATGCTGGGGTGGGTGAGCATGAGGTCGCAATCGGGGTGTCGACCGACGAGGAAAATATCCTCGTGATCTCGAGCCGAATGTTCTGGGGGCTTGTTGACGATGAAGATGTTCTTGAGGATCGCGTTGTTCTTCAGCACCGTCAACACTGGGATTTTGCCCTCTTCTTTTTCTGCTGCTGCTGGGTTTTTCTCTGCCTTGGAAGCCATGGTTATTTTTTTACTGAAAATTTTCTCCGAAATTTAGAGTTTGGAGAAAGAAAGGGGGAGTGAAGTGAGTGTAGGAAAGAAAAGGTTTCAGAAAAAGAAATGAAGAGATACAGAGATTTTGAATGATTGTAAAACGTGACCGTTCTGATGTGATTAGAACAATGGCCAACGGCTATCTAGCTAAATTGATATTTGCAAATGAGTAATATTATCAATAAGATATAATATAATTTGTAAGTTTAATGAATTTTTTTTTTATCAATATAAGCGTCGTCGACTCATCGTAAAATGAAAGATGTGATTTGCAAAACGTATTCTGGAATTTCCTTTTTATTTAAAATAAATTGGAATTCTCCTAAATAAAAATTTCATCTAATGCTAGTCTATATTTGGTTTTAAGTATATGATTTTATAAGCCGTGTTTTTTTATGAAAAAAATATTTGTACTCTCAAATAACACAATTTATGTCATTTCACTCTCACAAAGAGATGAGATCTACACTTTTATATTTTTTTATCTACACTCTTTCTTCTTTATCTATTTCTTTCTCTTACTTAAAATGATACAATTTTATATTCTTTGAAATGATACACACTTTTCTTTTCTTTTATAATTGTAGAAATCTCAACCTTTTACAATTAATATTTCATGTTAAAAGAATAAATGAAAAAATATTTAAAATTCATCATCAATTAAATTAATACATGCATTATTGCAACTCAAAATCATATATGATAACTTATTCGCTTTGATTATAAATCGTGTGTTTATATCTTTAGAATAAATTGGTTAATTTTAATATCATCGAGATTTAAAAACTTAATTCTAAATATAATTACCTCTACAGGAGGATATCTCTTATTTATATATATAAAAAATAAAAGGGTTAAAAAATAAAAAAAAAGCAACTAAATATGGTGTAAAATAAATAAATCTTTGATGGAGCATTTGATATAGGAACAAAAAAAATTATCTGCGAATCACGATTTTCAGAAATATGTGGAAAAATAAATTTTTCGGAAATGTTACTATAAGGTTATTTGGTAAGCTAAAATATTCTCAGAAATATTAGGTTAATTTTCTTGATATTATGTTTGGTTATGTTAAATTTTTCTTGGTGGTATTCTTAGATGGTATATTCAAAAAAAAATTACACACAAAATAAAATCCCAAAAAAATCAGATTTCTTAAAATATTTTAAAAATCTCATACCAAACATTAGAAAATAAGATTACCACCTTCAGTTTCGCAGGAATCTTAAAAAAAAACCTTCTATGCAATAAATGATAAATAGTCATGATACAGTGAGTTAAAACTTAAATTTTAAAAAAAAAAGAGTGTGTCTGTAAAAATAACGATGCCCGTCAGCTGAAGAGACAAATATTACGGTTACCAATGAAGGAATAAGGAAGAAGAAAAGAAGGGATTTGGGTGACATGGTGGGGAGGGTAACCAGATTTGAATTAATATACGGTAAAACCTTTTGCTTTTTAAAAGAACATTTACATTTAAAATAATCGTATTTAAGACAATTCAAATAACATGATCATAACCAAAACAATTGCAGAACATAAATTCTATTGCTTAAATATCATACAATATATATTCAAAAATTGCTAAGTGGTTCCTATAAACCAACAAAGCTTAATTACACCTTTTTACATTTTACCAACCTTATATAGGTTCGGTATTTTCAAAACTACACTTGACTCACTTATAAATAAATTCTCATATTTTAGTATATTAAACTAGACTCTCTAAGCTTTCCAACAAAACGTATCATAAGCTTAATTTGGACTTCTACCACTCCAGATATGTTTACTGTAAGTTAATTACTCAAAACTGGCAACAAACGTCAACAGTGAATATGGGTTCCCTCACTACTTTTAGAACTGCAGGAGCTACACTCATATGTTTACTCTCAATTTTTGATGTGTTATAGTTAACACCTAAAACTTCAATTTGATATATTTTAAGCCTTGTTTTGATAAAAAAAAATGAAGGAGATATTAATTTTCAAAGTTAAAAGGCAGTTGTTGTCAACTACCCGGCGAACCTGAGCAGTCCATGTTTAAACAAAAAAACTACACACAATTCATGACTCAGCGAAGTTCCAGATTTTAGGAAATTACAGAAGACATCCCAAGCTTCAAAATGATAGCTTACTCTCTTTATTTGACTAAGAATTGAGTTAGATATGACTCTCCAAAGTCATACACAATTATAATTTGCTTTCTATAAATTTTGACAGCATCTTCGCTATTTATTGGACAATTCTAGGGGTCACATTCCCTCTATATTTATAACACTTGATTGACACAATACTCTTTCCATTCAAACTATATGCACAGCTATCAAAGATGGCTCCGTGTTATTTACATTACCTAACATATAATATGTACATACTAATACATATCTCTGTCACTTTAATTAATACAACATAGGCTTCATTGGTCTTTCAAAAGATATTGTTGTAAATAGTAATTATGTAGTCATTTATTAGTAATTATGTAGTCCTTTATTTGTATTTATTTAGTCCGTTACTTGTATATTGGGCCAAGCCCATTAAGTCAAAATTAGGTTAAGAAGTCTCTATAAATAGAGACCCCTATGTACAGATTCAAATACAAATCAATAATATTTCATAACCTTTTTTCAAGTGATATTTACACTATATTATACTGCATGCTCTTACACTAGTCATGCTACATCAAAACGTACATACATTCAACTTTGCAACACATGCCACTATTCTACCCAACTGCTTCACATGTAACTCTAATCCTCACGGACCGACTTCTTACCACAGGATTTATCACCAACATCAGACGCACCTGAAATATATCCCATAACGCGGGGTGAGATAAACTCAATAAGCTCAAGGTTTATGGAGAAGTCTCCACCCACGAGTTCACTTTCTGTATTATATGTCAAATTCCCAAAACACAGAGAACACCATATAATCTTAAATCATACAATTAAGTACTTTACATCATTTCATCATTAATTAAACATAATTAACTTAACATTCATAGTTTCATCAACTATCTCATACCAATTATTTCACATCACTATTTTAGAAGTTACAATCAACTAGAATATATTTAACTCACAATAACCATAATTAACATCAATTCTTGTTGAAAGTCGTCTCTTGTAGGCCATGAACATAAAGGAGGAAAAACTAAAAAAATTTGTGCGGAAAAGGCAACCTTTGCCCACCTTCAAGCATGTTCAACCCATGAATCATGCAATAGACATGTTAGGGGTTTAAAGTTGATACCTTTATTTTGATTAATGTTCCTAATCAGATGCATTATTGATCAATTCTTCAGACTTGAAAAACACAAGTCCTCCGATGGAAATTCACACCACCTTGTTGTCTTGTGTAAGTACCTGTACCGCTAAATAATTAATTAAATAAAATTATCGATACCGGAGCATGGAGTTGATAAATATTATGCATAATTATGATGATATAATTATTTAGAAAGTCGAATAATGTTTAAGTCGCTTTTTTTATGAAAAGTGCAAATACTGGTTATGCTTCACGGTATAAATGTGTATCGGTGAAGTATTCTAAAAAATTATAATAAAAACATAAATATTCCTAAAAAACTATCAAGGTCAAGGATATCAAGTTTGGAGTAAGAATAGTGAGCGGTGATGTCAGAACTAATACCGGCTACGTATAAAATGCGTACCAACAAAGTGCTTTGAAAATTATAATAAAAATATGATATTTCTTAGAAAAATGTCTAGGTTCAGAATATTAAGTTTGGGAGTTAAATAATTAGCGGAGCTATTAGAACTAATATTGATGGATTAATTAAGTGCGCCTATAAATAGGAACTTGCACACAAACCTAGGGCAGATTCTATTCATCTCTATGTGCCTCTCAAGTTGCCCTTGTGTTCTGCACCTTCTCAACACACTATCCTCTTTAAGAACACCTCTATACACCATTTTTATTTTTATTTTAGTTGATCAACCATTGATACAACTTGAAAGTAACCATCTTGAGTTAGAAAGACACCTTGTTTCTGAGTTGTAGCAACAGTGTGGTGAGGGTTGGGGGCTGACTTACTTGGTTAGTAAAGTGGAAGCCATTTCCTTGGCATTTGATACTTCAAGAAGCTATTTTTTGGAGGAAAAGACAAAGCTTGGGAACCATATTCGTGGCCTTGTAGTAGCAAAATTGTATAGTGGTGTAGAGGGCTTTAAGACACCTCATTTCTTCTGTTTTGAGCCTTTGGGTATGCACCACTACCTTTGTCCTTGAGTTTTCATGTAAAAGATTAAGTCTTGGCATATTAAATGAGGTGATTAATTAACCAACATGAAATCTAGCCTAAATGTGTTTAAATATGCATCTTTGAACGTTTGGTAACATAAAAAAAATGGAGTCTTGGAATGATATCTTTGCGAAAATACAGAACTGCATTACCGGAAATGTTATCATTACATATGGTATTCAGCGCAGTTATAATCACAGTAATTGAGTTAATTAAATTACGGGTAAACTTTTTTCTTTTATTACATCATTATTTTTAAACCTTAAACATTTCCGTAATCAATTAAAAACAACACCGTAATTGTAATTGCAAGACATGCGGAAGCATAAAACTTATTAATCATAACCCCTCCAAGTAATACCATTAATTCTAGGTGATAAAATGACACATTTTCAAATTTTACACAGTGGGAATCGATTCCCAACCTTAAGGAATCGATTCCCAGCCTCAAGGAATCGATTCCCAACAGTTACTGTAAAAGTCAGTAGCTAAAATTTGCTTCCCACGTTGTGAGGAATCAATTCCCTCCTAAAAGGAATCGATTCCTTGAAACAGAGCACGCAAAATTTAGGCTACTGTGATGTTGGGAATCGATTCCTTTCAAAAGGGAATTGATTCCTTAGCTGCAGAATTGCATCTTGACAGCTTTTAATGCACTAAATGGGTGATGTAACTTACTCCTAACACCTTAATACTCAATATACACCTTACACTAATACTAATGTAGGCTCTAGGCCCTTCCATCATGCATATTCTTTATATAATGCATCAATTACAATAATTCTCAATTCCAAGGCCATTTAAACATCAAAATGGACACTTTACAACATAAGA